GGCCCGAGCAGGCCCGGGGCCTCATGGGCAGAGCCTGCTGGCGGTGGGGTTCTCCCTGGGGGCCTGCGTGTGCTCCGGCCTACTCCATTTCCCCGCTGCTCCCGAGCGACCCGCCTCGGGCCTGAGCCCCGGCCGGAGCGCTGCGCTGGTCGTTGCCTTTTAACTTTTACTTTTCGACTTTCTGGTTATGGAGAAGTGGTTTTTGCCAGCTGTCCTGGGCAGGATAGTAAGAGGTGTTAACGTCGCTTACAGGAACCTCAGCGTTCCCGGGGAAGGGTGGCTCAGTTTTTAACTGTCGTGTATTTACCGATTGCTTTATGCTGCAGGTGAATCTGCACATGTTGAATGCTTCACGGTGGCGTTTGCGTTATGTGCCTGTGCTCTTATCCTTTCAGTGTTAGATCTAGACTTTGTATTGTTCATCCTCTAATGTTTTTCTTTCTTTGGAGGATGGAGAGGGAATGTAGTAATTTGCTCCTTAACTATGTGTATTGATAAACTTCTGGTTTGTACCTCGTTAGCTGAATAAGGAAAGGCTAGCAGGAACCGTGATATGCTGTTCCTGTTTATCCTGTAATGAACTTGGGATTCATTGGCTTAATAACCCTGGACTAAAAGTATCTTCTGGATAATTATTTCGTGTTTACACCTCACCTGATTTCTTTAGAGTTTGGTGGTTGTTTTTCTTATTATACTCAAAATAAATCTTTCCAGGTGTAACATGTTGGTTAAGTCATTAGTACTACATGGATTGTTCATTAGTTCATAAGCTTTTGATTTTTAGAACTAAGTAGTGGCTTTTGAAAGTGTTTGGTTTGTTTTGGGGGAGTATTTTCACGGATATAAATATTTAAATATTTAAATAAAGATCCTGGTTCCATAGTAAAATCTACAGGAAAGGATAATTTGAAATGGCTGCTTAAGAAAACTCGAATAAAAAATCGTCAGTGAGCAATTCTAACGTTCTAGTGAAATGCTTGGCACGCAGTTGTTGTTGGAGTTTCACAGCCTTTAAGGCAGAAAACCTTGGACTGCAGTCAAAAATGTTAACAAAATCAGTACCTTATATCTTAAAAATGTTATGAGACTATTTCGGTACAAAACAAGTAAGTGACCAGCCTGCTTTACTGTGTGGTGTGGTTTTCAGTTGGTTTTGTTTTGCTTTGGTTTTTTTTTTAATCTTCCCAGAAATGGAATGGTGTTTGCTATTCACTTTGCAGATGTGCCTGTCTGGTCCACAGTGTGGGATATGAACATAATACTGTTGCAGTTCGCTATGTAGCATAATAGTTCAAAAGCAGTACATTTTGTGGCTGTGACAAAGCCAGTGCCAGTGCTGCTGAGTACAATTGAAACAGATGTGAACGGTTGTAACTCACACTCCCAGGTACCATGACAGATTTGTAAGGTTAGGGCAATGTCTGTTGTTTTTTTTACAGCTGGTTTTCCTGTACCACTTATGCATGATTTCTGTTTTTCTTGTTGATCTCATAGAAGTTGATTATTTAGTGTTTCCAAAGATGAAGAGGAAAGTTGCAAAAGTTGGGAAACTGAGACTTAGTCCTAATGAAGAAACCATGCTTCTGAAAGAAGAATATGAAAGAAGAAGAAAACTGAGGCTACAGCAAGTATGCCTGTATTTTTGCACTTTGTGTGTTTCATTTAATGATGTGATAAATAATTTAGGATAATTAACTGAAAAATTATTTTTTGTAAATGAAATTTTAGAGTCGTAATATTGTATATTAGGTTTCTATTTAGTTTGTGAATTATTTTCCTTTTCTCATGTTTATTTACTACTAAGTGCATATTTTGCTTGTGATACCTTCTCTGTTAGATTCACTCTGGCATCTGTTCCAGTATCTCTTCTTCCCTGCCAGCTTCCTTGTATCTACCACTTCTATTTGGCTGTGAACATGGAGTTGTTTCTCTTCTGCTGATATGTCACTTGTGTCAGGAGTCATACCTCTTACAGCGTTCCAGGTGTTTCACAGTGATCACGCAGAAGAAATAAGACAACTACTGCTAATATAGAACTTCACAGCTTTCTACTAGATGAACTGAATTGCTACAATATGTCATAGATCTAAATGCTTTAAGCACTGCTCCATTTAGCATGTCTGAGCAGAGTACCTTTATGTCCTTCAGAACATGTCTGTTGCTCATCTCATCTTTCTTCCATTTCTGTCCTGCTGTCAGACTGCAGGGCTATTTCTCCATTTCTCTTCTTGCTCTTTTCTTAGGCTTCCTCTGCTTTGTCCTACACAAGCTGTTCAGGTCTTTCCCATCTCCAAAAATATATATCTTCAAGACATTTACTGCGTGCTAATCTTTCACCCTTTCTTGGGCTTTTTTTCTCTATATGTTTTTCTCTTCAGTGAAGAGGATTTTACTGATAAAGCGGAAGACAAAAAACTAGTAAGCAGACTTTAATTTATCAGTACAGTTGCTGATTTTCTTTAAACCATCTTGTATTGTAATAGGAGTCTTTAATAAATTACTGCTGTATTTTTTGAGGGAAGGATATTCCAAGAAATTTTTGCATTTTGTTTATCAGCTGTATGTTTCTCTTTGAATTTTAACTGAAACTTGTAAAAAAGGATAAATTTATTTAATATATTAATTTTGGAAAAAGGTAACAGTGACTTTAAAGTATTTTCTGGACAGATTGTTTCTTAATGGAATAGTAGATGAGATGGAAAGCTGAAAGGAGGGTAGTGTATGTTGTGGAAAGACTTGCTGCAAAAGATATTGTGCTTTTTTTAAGTTGCGGACAAAACAAATGCTATTTCCACAGGTTAGAGAGCAACAGAAGTATATCGCCTTGCAGATAAGACAGAAGGTAAAGGAGAGGAGAGAAGAACAGCTACATCAGTTAGAGGAGGCACTGAGAGCTGAATGGCAGAAAGCACAGGATCAAAAGATGAAAGCCTTAGAAGAACTGTATTTATCAAGCTTAAGAGCAATTGGTGAGGGTCATCGACAAGCCAGGGAGAACGTAAGTGAAACAGCTTAATATTATTGTCAGTGAAGTTCTTGATGTTCTAGAAATACCAAGATTGTGTTTTGGTTTTTTATATTCTTGATCTTGCAGTCCTAATACCTAAAACGTCAGTTTTTTTAAGAATGGAAACTTCTTAGAAATGTTTATGTACAGTTTTGCGGATACGTTTCCACAAGAACAGGATTGGTCTATATTGGTCTAGCGGGCCCATCTGCGAAGGCTTTTGCTGTGCAAACTCTTACTTTGTTTATGTTGGATTGTACACATATATGATAATGTATGTTTGTACTTGACTAAATTGTGCATGGTGAATCATTGTCTCTTCTCCCAACTAACTAGTGATAGGACGAGAGGAAATGGCCTCAAGTTGCTCCAGGGGAGATTTAGATTGGATATTAGGAAAAATTTCTTCACCGAGAGGGTGGTCAAGCATTGGAACAGGCTGCCCAGGGAGGTGGTAGAGTCACCATCTCTGGAAGTGTTCAAAAAACGTGTTGGTGTGGCGCTTCAGCACATGGTTTAGGGGACACAGTGGTGCTGGATTAATGGTTGGATTTCATGATCTTGAAGGTCCTTTCCAACCTTAGTGATTTGTGATTCTGTGAAGTATGCCAGTAATATAGTAGCTTTTTTTTTTCTCTGTCATGTAACAGTATCTTTTCTATGGTTAAGAAAATATGCTTTTTTTTCTTCAGTGCTCAAGTGACATGGAAAGTCTTGGTAAAGGCTTCAGAGGCCTTTGCCTAGACTGCAGACTGGTGTCACTTCTTAATTCTGCACCTATAAACTGTTTTCACTTTTTAAAATCCTATGACTTGTGTAGACTCTCTTTGAGAGATCACTGAGGTTGCTGGGTAGAACTCTTCCATAGATTTCTCTGAACCAAGTTTATAGAAATCAGTGGTGACACAGGTTTCTTGCATGAATTTTGCAACTAGCTTACATTCCGATTAGTCAGGCTTTTTAAGCCAAGTAGAATAGTGTTATACTTTTCCACATTTCAGTGTCTTTAAGTCAACTTCTTTGTAAAGTCCTTTCCAGTGCTAGGATGGATGAGTGTGTGGAACACTGTGGTACCAATGCCATAGGAACAGAGAACTAATAAAGAAATGTTTCTGTTGATACACGATTGTTGTAATAAATGAGTGAATGGTAGTAACATGCTTTGTCTGTACAGTTGAGCCAGCATTTGCTAAAATGTGTAAGTATATTTATATTACCCTCTTTATCAAAGAGATGCAGAGAGAAGCTAAGGTTTCCACAGCAATATTTGGTTACATTGGCTGAGGAATGTGGCAGATTTGTTGGTGCTAGAGAAGGAAAAGTTATAATTTAGAGTATTTTTGCTCTAATACAGTACAAAGTAATTTTGAACTTGTGATTCTACCAGCAGTACTTAATTTGAAATAGCACACTGATAGTATGAGAAGTGAGTAAAAACCTGTATTAAGTGCTTGCAATATCTTGTTGTTAAGGAACCTGACTTAGAAGCTCTGGCAAAGCAAGCAGAGGAGAGGAAACAAAGAGCAGAGATGAGACATAGGAAAGCCCTGAAAGAGCAGAAGTACCAAAAAGAAAAGTTACTTCGTGAGCAAGCCCGGTATGCAATAGTTACCTAGTTTTATGAAGCATAGAATGCTTTTTACCATGTCACAAGGTGAAAGGCAAAAATCCTCATACTTACTGCTTGGTGCTTTTTTCATCTTAACATTTTATGGCTTATAGAATTAATGCTTGTGGCCAAAGCTTGCGTATTTTGATAAGAACTGTAGTTTTAAAACCAAGACAAAAATGTCAAGTATATGAGCTTTATATATATGTATATGAGCCTTATATTATATATATATATGAGCCTTATATTATATATATATATATGAGCCTTATATTATATATATAAGTATATGAGCCTTAATAGACTCTCAATGAGTGGGGGGCCTTTCATCTCTATATTGCTGTTTTCAGTCTAGATTGTTGGCTGACAGCTATTCAGTGACAGATGAAATGAAATGTTCTCAGGCCAGTTCCTGATGGAGAGTTACCCACTTGAAAAAAGGACCTATTGCATTGGTCATGGTCTTCCTTCTTAGCGTTTTTGTTTTGTTTTGTTTTTTGGGGTTTTTTTTTAAGCAGATTGGACAAAACTTGAGCTGGCATGAAAAACGAACTGTGTACTCTCAGGGATAGTTGTGCTTGAGTAGAGCTGAGACCTATTGATTAAATGCTTAGTTTTGTCCACACTTGAGCAATTAAAATATGCTGAAGTGATGCAGTGCTTTCTGAAAACTTAAGTTAAAAGCAGGGATTTTGGTTTGTTCTTTAGACACTTGTGTGTATTAACATTTTTGTGTTACTTCAATAAATTAATTTTCCAGTGCTGCCTGCCAGCATAGGGTCTGTTGACTTTTCAATGTGCTTGCCCATCCCTATCTCCCAAGCATTCAATTCAGGTACATCTCAATCTGTTTATTTTTAGGTTTGCCTTTTATTTTGCACAGTGCTGTCATTGTTGCTTGAATAATTTTCCTTTTCTCTTCCGTGTGTGTTGTTTTTTATTTGATTTTGTTGATGTTTTATTGCATGTGTGTGGCATTTGTTTTGTTTGTTTTTCCTCCCAAGCCGAACAAATGCACGTAAACATGCTCTAGAAGTGGAGAGACAAAGAGCAGCCAAAGTTGCAAGCCTGCCACCTCCTCCACCACGTCCTCTTGAGGTATGTATCCGTGATGCAATAGTGATCACAATTTCAAGGTATCATATAATGATACAAATCATTTATTTGTTGGTCTGATTGCTCACAACAGGGTATCCATAATTGGTATTTGCATACTATAGGAGAGTGATTCAGCAAAAATCAAGAAAATTTATTAATTATGTATTAGCAGACCTCTTACTACTAAGCTTTTAGTATTTGTTTATTTCTGATCTCTTGTTATGTGTGGATTTTATTGTCATCTGAGATCTTATTTTTGTGGTTAACATGTCTTAAACTTTATCATGATCTCATTTTCATTTAATAGCCCCAGTGGTATTAAACTCTGCAGTGATCTTTCTCAACACATACACACCACCTCAGCCTTCTGTCATAACGGTGCAGTAGTAGCATTTTGTTCATTTCTGTAATATAGTTCTACCTCTTTAGCTCTGGGCTTTTTCCTCCAATTTCGTTGTTTGTTGTAGGGAATACTAACTGTAGGGTAAGCTGTTTAATTTTGATAGGAAACCAGTACATTCAAGGTCAGATTGGATGAGGCTCTGAGCAACCTGACCTAGTTGAAGGTGTCCCTGCTCACTGCAGAGGAATGGACTAGATGACCCTTAAAGGTCCCTTCCAACTCAAAGATGCTATGATTCTATACCTAAAGCTATTGGGGAGGACAGCAGATAAAAGCCATATTTTTAATTCTATGCTTTACCCTTTTTAGGGGGCAACTTTATACCTCCTTCATGCTGCTTTGATTTCAGAGAGATTCTGCATACATGTAGAAGTTACTGTAGGACTGCAGGAAGAGTATTATATGCATTTTTACTTTGGAGTTAACTTTTAGTAAATTTAATTTAACGGAAGTTCATTAATGTGGAGTTCAAGTTGCCTTATGTGGTGTTGTGCCCTTTCAGACCGTCAGGTTCAGGAATATTCAGACCCCTGACAAGAAAAGAAAGAATTAAGATGTACTGGCCCCTCTTGCAGCCAGTGAAGTTACCAAAGCTTTTCCCAGCTACATCTAGCACGTTATGTATAGGTTAGTATGTTGGGTGATGGGGGTTTGGTACTGATGTACCTGGAAAATCTGAGAGAGGCTTAACCCTGTCAGTTTTCAGAATGATTCGAAGAAGGAGAGCTTATATACTTTCATTTGTATCACTTCGTACATGCTTCTCTGTAGGTCTCCTCGCTGGCTGCACAAGGGTTTTCTTATTGTGGAAGCTGGATATGAGTGAGGATTAAAGCAAGTGTTGCAAGGGAGTGATAAAGTTTGGGGTTATTTCTGGTGAAGTGTATGCAGTGTTGGCATTTAGAACAGATGGAATAAGGTCCTGTATGGTACAGTTCAGGTCAATTCAAACACTCTTTCATGCTGTTGTGCTGTTCTATGTTGTTCCACCTGACATGTTCCTGGAGTATCTGCTGTGGAGCAGTTGAAGGCTGTATCAGTTAAAACTTTGACTTTTCACTTTGTGGTTCTCAGACACTTGTGTTGCTCAGTTTTCCATTGTTGGAAAAGCATGAGACGCTGTGGCATTGCTTTCTAGTAGTTTTTGCAGTTTAGGAGGTGTTTTATGTTGCTTTCTATTTAAAAAAAAAACCTACAACACCACGTTTCTCATTAGTGACCAAAAGTCAGCTGCAGTTAACATGCATATTTATAGATGATCTAACAGCTAAAAAGACACAGTACTATATAATACTTTTCATCTAATGACATCAGTAATGTATCTCTCTCTCCATTTCACAAATGCAGAATTTCCTTCTTTAGTCTTTTTTCACTGGGGCAAGCAAGGAGACCTTTTCCAGGCTTCCCCAGGTTCTGGTACAATTGCATTTGCAATTATGCTGGATGGCAGGTCTGGGTCAGTATCCTGTTTAAGTATTGCAGAGTCATAACTTCATCTCCTGAAATTCTACAATTTTATGCATTTCCACCCATGAACAAGTGTCCTTTACTCACCTTTTCAGCAAACATGATTTTAGCTGTTTTTAGCAGAGTTTGCAGACATCTGGATTTTCTAGAATTATGTGGGTTTTATTTCTTTCAAGAAGTTCATGCTCTGATAATGGCAAATTGAATCAACAATTCTGCAGATGTGTTCGACTTTTGTTGAGGAAAGAGATTGAGTTGCATTGTTTAAATACAGTACAGTGTGTCAGTTTGATCCATGTAAAGACTAGCTGACTTTGAGCCTTTTTCCTAGTTTTCATATCCTCATGGATTTAAATTCTTTTGTCATAGGTCTGTGTTGCTGGGAGGCACAGTTTGAAGAATAAAGTTATTTTCTTGGTAGAGTAACTGGGTGCCATGTACTGCATGGGGTAAATGCGAAGTAATTGAAAGATCAGCAATGATTAGAGCTGTGGCTTATTCCTAGTTCTGTATAGAGGGAGAAAACAAAAGATGTTAACTGTCAGTTTGGGGGGGGTTGGAGGGGGTGGATCTGGGGCTTTGTCTTGCAAATGCATTACTCAAAAGGCACTGAATTTGAATTGCTTAACTTTACTCTAAATCCTGTGAATTACAGCAAATTACAAGGTCATCTGCATAAGCATGCTTATTTTCTTGAATCAATTTACATAAAGAGCTTATTAAACATAACTGTAATCATAATCTGATGCTCTGTTTCAATAACAATTGAATAAAATTTCATAAAATTGAGCGAGGTCAGTGATGTTCATTGCAGGATTACTTAGAATATAAGAAACATTTTCTGAAGATACTCCTATTACTGTTACTTTACCCAGTTAGGAAAGAAGTGTTTTTACTCTAGGTACATTGTCATAATCAAGTTTAATTCTCAGAAGGATGGCTTTTAGGATTTGAGGCCTTATTTAGTTAGACCGACTCTTAAGTTACTTAATTGAAGTTTACTGTAAACACCATTTTATTGGCAAATGTCACAGAGTTCTTGTGAACTTAATTTTTTTAAATGATCTGTAAGATTTTTATCTCATATAAATATAACCTAAAAATGTTACTATATTATCCTTGAGTATTCATGAGATTTGTAGAGTTGGATTTTCTTTTTTCTTTTTTTTTTTTTTTTTTCAATTTCATGGTACATTGCTGCTACAGTTTTGCCAGGTTTTAGTATAGATTTATTTACTGGGGGGGGGTGGGAAGGGGAGGTTATAAACTTCCTGATGGAAGTATGGATGGATTCTTAACTGCAGTGGTTCCACCGTGGGGTGTAATAATGTTACAAGTATTATTTTTTTCAATCTAAATTGCTTTTGACATTAATTGGAAAATTGCAGCCTCCAACTTAGTTCTCACGCCTTCACAGCTTTTGAATAAAATTCCAGAGATTTGATTGATTAAATGCAACTATTAATTACTGCTTTTAGTTTTAAATTTGTTAAATAATTCAGAAGACTAAGGTTTAATTATACATTCTGAAAGTAACACAGTATAGGTCAAGCAGTCGATGATCTGGCTAATGATGTTTAGGCATGGGACTTGTCTGTTTTCAGAGCTGTAATCGATATCTACAAGCGTTTGGTTAATGTTGATCTGTTACAGTTACAATGATTTATTGATTAAGAAAGTTAGCAATTTTTAAACAGCATTATATACAAATAAAAATGAAATTATTGATAGTGGGCTTTTATTTGCACATAGCTTTTTTTCTTTGTACTAGAATAACATGCATTTACTTAAGAACTGTAAAATAAGTTACTGAAGTTCTGTTCGTAAGGCTAAAAGTAGTTGCATAACTCAGGATTTTAATTTGCAGACTTCGCTTTCTACAGTCTTTATAAAATAGCAGGAGGTAATCAATACTGAAATTTTGTATGCCTCATCTTACACAGAGGTCAGTTTAAGATATTCCTGAGACTTACTGCTATTCTTTGTGTATGTGCATTTGTTTACAGTCATGTTTTAAACCGCTTGAGCTATGAAACTTGCTGTTTCAGTCAATGTGGGTAGGAATCCTTTTTTAGGAGAAAGTCTAGGGAAGAGGAAGCTGAGAGAAAATGAATGGAGGAGATGTTAGAAATACAAAGGCAAGTCCTACAGAATACCGAGTTACCTAACCTGGCTACCTCACTACTAAGAACATCAGGCTGAGGAAAAGGGGAGGGAGCGTCTGGTCGCTCAGTGTTCAAACTCTTTCAGACAAGAGTTGAAATGTGGTAGCGTACCCAAAACTTTAAAAAAACAAACAAACTTTGTATTATATGAATAGACATTTTTCAGTGAAGTTATGGAAAATGCTCTTTTCTCTGGTGAATCTAACTAAATTGGACATAATCGTTGTGAGTTTCATAAAGAAAGTCTGTACTTGAGAAGTGTTAATTTGCTGTTAGGTATAATTATATTGTGGATCTGTGGCTGCCCTGCTTTGGAGGTGAGTGTGACAGCTGTTTTAAGTGAGGTTTGTATTATTACATCAAACTCAATTGCTTTTACATTAAGGTAATGCTTTTGAAACATGAAGGTTATAGCGCTCTGATGAATGTCAATTTGTGTGGAGTTTACCTTAGGCTGTTAGATGCTCTCAGTTGTTAAACCCTCTAGATCTGCCTTGGGCTGATGTGATTTATTAATTATTAAATGTATGTAAAGTTTTAAACAACATTTTCAGGAGAGAATTTGGGGTGGTGGCTTTCTTTTAATACTAATATAAGTGTACAGATTACTTATGTTCTGTTTAGTTGCTTTGCTAGAGATACTATTCTCTGATACAGCTGTACTTGTATTTTTCTTCCTAGAATTTTGAAGTGAAAAAGACTCCTGCAGTGAAGCCCTGTAGTGCTGACAACTTTTCTGTTACACGTTATCATATTTCCGAACCTTACGTGGACAGAGAAGTGGATGGAGAGCAGGTGATTGACTCCCAAGTGTTTGTGATACATGCTTCCATATATCTTTGTATTGCATACAGTGTCTGGATGTCAGCAATTCAGTTTTCTAGAACTTGTTTAAAAATAGGAACTTGTATAAAGCAGCCATTACACAACTTACTAATTGGAATTTTACATGGGGAAACTTGTAAGTCCTCTTGCGTGCTCAGTCACTTGCAGGATCACAGCTGACAGTTCCAGTGAACAGAGCTCTGTAAGAAGGTCAGTTCACAGGACTGGCATAACATTATGACCACCCTCTCAGTGAAGAAATTTTTCCTAGATTGGATATTAGGAAAAATTTCTTCACTGAGAGGGTGGTCAGGCATTGGAACAGGCTGCCCAGGGAGGTGGTGGAGTCGCCATCTCTGGAAGTGTTCAAGAAACGTGTGGATGTGGTGCTTCAGGACATGGTCTAGGGGACATGGTGGCGCTGGATTAATGGTTGGACTTGATGATCTTGAAGGTCCTTTCCAACCTAGTGTTTCTGTGATTCTGTGATTAGGACACCCATATCTTCTGCTTTGTGGCTTATGCTAAATTAATAGTTGCAGGTGCCCTGCTTTTTTCTCTTCCCTTCTTTTTAGCTATGTACTCCCAGTCTTTACCTCATATTTGTTTTCATCTGTTCATGCAGTTGGCAGTTTCAGCTTGCCAAAATGGCAGAAGTCTAATTTGGGAAAAATAAATGATGAAGAGATTTTTGCCAAATGGGAAAGTTTACTCAAGTTTACCATATACTCACACAAAGGCCAAAGTCAGATCAGAAGAAGGGGAGGACCTGGAAAAGTGAGAGATGAAGCAAGAGCTTAGGTTTTAGAGGCAATTTTTGAATTAAGGTAATGTTATTGAAAAGTGAACCAAAAAACAGTTTGGTTTATTGCTGATGTGAGACCGCAATCTAAATTCCTGTTCTGGATCAGCCTCCTTTAGACTAGAAAAGCGCTCTCAATAAATTCAGTTTTGTGAATATTTTCTGTAGTGCATTCGTGAAGCTTTCATTCATGAAATTTTAGGTTTTCTTAACTTTGTAGCCTTGCTTATGTGCAATGATTTTTTTTCCCCTAAGTATTTTTTAATTTTCATGTGGTAGTAAGATTTTTCTTATTTAAAAAATGCAGATTGTTTCTGGTTTCCCAAAGGAGAATGAAAATACTGCTGAATTTATATGTCCCTCCCCCACTTAAAACCATGAGGATAGACATAGTCAATTTGTAATATTAACTGAATTTTTCATTTTACATTGTATTGTAGGAAAAATAACCACTTTGCTATAACAAATCATATAAATTATTGTCCCTAGTACAGCTTGAAACTAGAACATTTTGACACCTACAGTTATGGAGTATGTAAATATGCTAACCCCGCCCAAAGGTAAAAAACTAGTTTGGTCCTGCTTGCAACCAAGAATTGTAAACCTTCAAGGGTGTTCATATGGCACTGTATGTCTGTCTTTTTTTAAAAAAAAGTGCTTTTGGGGCAGAATTATTAATCTATTTATTGTTACATATGCTTTAAACTACCACAAAGAACTTCATGGACTAAACTATTGATTGACTGCCAGCCAGATGCTCGGTTAGCTGCTGAAGAAGAAGGGAGACGTTTGGAGGAACTACACAGAGAGGCAGAGAGGGAGAGAAGAGAGCAGCTTGAAAAGGCACATCTCAGAGGAAGTCATGCCTTGAAGAAGGTCCATTTGGCTCAGGTTGGCAAAGTAGTTGTGCTTGTTTTTAATGTCAAAATGACCAGTGTTAAGTAAGCTGTAGGTAGGTGATTAGTAAAGGAATTACGGTCACAGAAGGAAAATTGATGGACTAAATGGAGTTTTCAGAATGTGCTTAAAGAACATCAAACTGCTTATTTTGGCTATCTGGAAGGAGGGAAAATGAAAGAACATCCTTTAATTTTTGTTACCTTAATAATAGCTAGTCTGTTTGACCAGCTATTAACCAATTGGTAATAAAATTAAGATAAACTTTTTTAATAGATGATAAGCTCTGCTTTTCCACATCAGCTTTAGTTGAATTATTCTGTGCTTCAGGGGAAAAAAAAATGTTTACTGTTAGGAAGGCAACAGTTTATTTATTTTTTTTTTTAAACATTTCAGAATTTTTACTTAAAGACTGAGGTTCTGTTAGCATATAAGCCTGGAAATACTGAAATTGTTTCCTTTTAAGATGTAAAAACTGAACTACTGAGAAAGGTCTTTATACCTAGAGGTATGCTCTGAAATTTGTTTTATTATCTGTTACCTTCAGAAGCATATTTGGAGGCTAGAAATAGCAAAAGCTTCCTGGTTTTTAGTTGAGATATGATTGGCCCTGAATGAGTAATCTAACTAAAAATGGGGAACTGTGGAAATCTTAGTGGTGCTCCTTAAGTTAACAGGAAAAAAACCCCAACCAAACTTCAAATAAAGCTTTTTTTAAAGTAGCTTTTATACATAATTGTAGTGTGCCAAGAGTATTTAGTTCATGTCTTAAAAAGTAGCAATTGCTGAACTGTATACTAACAAAAGTAACTTGCCAAAGAAAGTATTCATTTACCTTATAAAATAGAAGATTTAATTCTGTTGAGGAAAGTTGGCCTACAGGTATAGAGTCTGATCCTTTATTTAACATCAGATCTTCTAGGTAGTATTGATGACTCTTGTGCGTAAAGGTCAGATGCAGCCTTCTGAGGAAGCACCTTCTCCCTAGAATCAAATTAACTTGAATATTAAGGATTAAACAAACTTCATGGTAACAAAATGAAAGAATTTTATCAGTCCTTATATATGGCGGTCTGAATGTCAACACTAAATGTTTATGTTATCCCTTCTTTATACCTGAAGGACAGGGAAAGGCTATTGAAAGAACTTGAGGAAATGCAGAACATGGATCGGGTGCGCAGAAGACAGATTGTAGCACAGATGCCACCTCAACTTTTTGTGCCTGCCTACAAACGCATGGCAATAAAAGAAGAATGGCAGAGAGAATTGGAGTTTGCATTTGAAGATATGTACAGTGAAGACAGGAGTAAGTAATTTGTCGGGGGTTGCTGAATCTGGTAGCCCAGAAGAGGAGAGGCTGGGGGCGGTGGCCGTCGGCAGCTTCCTGTCCCCAGGACCAGTGGGTAGCAAGGCTATTGTGTGTATTCACAGAAGGCACATACACGAACAGGCTTTCAGTACATGTACACACAGACAGCCACGCAGGCCAGCACAGAAAACGCAGCACTCACATTGAACACAAGCAGCACAAATGGCTGCATGCTGTTCACTGCTCTGACTGATCAGGATGAAGGCTTGTTAGTGGGGTGTCTGTCTGTATGTACAGTGTGGATCCCTCCAGCAGTTGGTCTTGGACACTGGGACTACCTGGTAGTTGTCCCCTGCTTTCCAGGTCTCCATCCATCACACTGCGGATCCCCCAGTAACAGGTCGTAGACAGCCAGTCTACCTAGTAATTCACCATGGATGCTGTAGCCTTCCAGTTACGTCGCATGTCCACGTATGCACTGGTATGCCCAAGTATGTGCTATGAATCACTCAGTAAGTGGCTTTAGACACTCTACCTAGCAGCTGGCCCTCGATCTTTAGTCTCCCCAGTTGCTGACTCCTGGGCATGTGAGCCCCCAAGGTCTGCTGCTCCACTCCAATTGTTGCTACACAGACCCAGCTAGGTATGTGAATGTATGCACAGACATGCATATGCTATGGATCCCTGTGGTAACTGACCTTAAATACTCAGTCTACCCCGTAGCTGACCCTGGATCCTGTCTCTGGTAGTCTGAGATGTGTACACGTGTGCTGGCAGGTTGAGCTTCAGATCCCGTGGTGTTTCCTGTAGCTGACTTGGATGCTTGGGTCTCCTGATCCTCCCTGCAAGCCAACTAGCAGATCCCCTGGCCTCACCAGTATCCAGCCCAGTCCTATGGCTGCTTGATAGCTAGCTCCTAAGCCTCATCATTCTTGCTGGCTAGTCTGGCTTGCAGTTTGCTAGCCACTGGATGCTGGTACTCATACCCACATAATATGCACTCATTGTGCTCTCTGCAGTTGGCAGCACTGTGGACACAGGTGCCTCCGTGACTTTTGGTCCCCAGTTGCTGGCCCTTACATATCCATACACACACATGCATACAAAATGGAGGGTTCCTCATCCAGGAAAGGTTGGGTCAGGTTGGATGGGGCTCTGAGCAACCTGATCCAGTTGAAGATGTCCCTGCTTATTGCAGGGAGGTTGGACTAAATGACCTTTAAAGGTCCCTTCCAACCCAAACTATTCTATGATTCTGTGAAAACAGCTAGAAATGGAATTTGGTGAGAAGACAGGACAGATTGTCAGGTACAGTGCATGGCCAGACAAGTAGACTGCCCCCTTTTATTTCGTTATTGTATTTTTCCTCACAATTGTTCCTCCCCAGAATAACTTGATCCTTTCTTTTCCCTGCCTTTGGTTCCTCCCCTAAATAGATGAGCTTCCCATGTGTCCCACACCCCTTGCAGGCAGGAACCCTGCAGTGGGTAAGGTGATCCTGGCAGAACTGCTGACTAGTCTTCCAGGCTTTTACACCTGGACTATGTGATCAATCGCTCCTGGGACAGCCCTGCTCACAGCCAGGTCAGGGTTGTCTTTTCCCTGATGAAGTTGTTGGGATCCTACTGTGTGTAATTGTTCCCATGTGCTGTTTTTTTGTGTAAAGATGAGCCTTTTATCCCATAAATTTTCATTTTGAAAGATATAGCATATTCTAGTGGAAAACCCTGTAGATTTTCTGAATAGATGGCTAGTGATGTAAGCAATTTTGAATCTTCCATTTTGGAAAAAAAAAAGTTGGATTAAATCTGTTGTGAAACAAGCTATTGATATTTGAACTTCTTAGGGACTGTTAAGATGAGTGTAGTCTTGCAATGTTGCTTGCTTTTTATTCGCATTGGTCATTTTATGTGGTTGTGTTCTTTTAATTAGAAATGAAAGGAGACCTGATTTTGCAGTTTGAGCCACAACCTTTGCCAGCCCCTTCTGACAGATCTCAAGATAATGATCTTGATATCTCTTTGGAGCAAGAATCTGCTTGTGACACTCAACCAGAATCTGCTTGTGATACTCAACAAGAATCGAAACAGATGGTAGAAGAGGAGGTCCCTAATGCATCAGAAAGTAAAGTTTTTAACCTTTACATTTAACTTAAACTTTTTGGTTTTATAGCAGAAGAGATGTAGTTTAATATGTCAAATAAATTAACTGTAATATTAACTAAAATGTCTTGAGTACTAAAATTCCTTAACACCTGTGAAGTATTTCACTATCAGGTGGTTTATGATGATTATCACGGATTGTAATACTCTAATGATTATGAATTTTAAAATGAAAATGTTACTTTTTCTCATACACTTCAGCTCATTAGTATACTGAGAATAACTTTTAATTGTTGTAAAAACTACACTGTTAGTAGCCATAATTATTCCTATAGAATTAGTGTAAATTATGGGATGATGCTGGTATGCAAACTTAAATATTTTTCATTTTGTGTTTTGAAATATTTCAAAGTTAAAGCTTGACTTCGTATGAAAGTCTACTTATTGTATGTCCTTTATGTTCAGGTTTGCGATTGAGTTGTTCCATATTCCGAGTAGGCTGCAAGAGTTGCATGTGTGTACTGTTCGCTTGGGGCATGTACAGGATAATGTGATGTGAACAAGAAGTGTGTTAGTGAACTTCGCTGCTTGGCCAAGCATTTCTGCCACATCCCTCTGCTAGCACAGTCCGTTTTTTGGTCTCTGATGCATTGTGTTGTCTCTGCTGATACAAAGGAGAGGGCAGGAACATAAAGGCAGGGTGGAGGGGGGATAGTACTGCTTATTTCTGCAGCAGTACAGTCTAGGAGTAGTCTGTCTGTGAAACACTACAACTAGCTTAGCCCTCCTTTTATGGCACAAAGAGACAAATTACCACTCTTCTCTTGCAGGTAAGAGAAAATGTTAAGCTTTTAAAACTTGGTAATATACCTGAGCTATTTGCCCAACTGTGTAAGCAATTAAAAAAAAAAAAGGATTTTTGTTTTTATGTGAAGACACTCATTACCCAAAACTCTTAACGGTATATATTCTTTATAGATCACAAAGAAGCAAAAACTCACCAACGTCTGTCAAAACTTGCCTTAAAGAAATTGCTGAACAAGATTAGAAGCCAAAAAGAGGAGTGGACATCAAAAAGTGAGAAAGTGATTCAAAGTGAAATTGAGACTATTGAATCGGGCACAATTGCTAGCGAAGAGAGACCATTATGTGATTTAGAACTTAACTATGAGCAACAGAAAAATACAGTATGTGATGCCAAAGGTATGTAATACATACTTGCATAAAAATTTGTTGTGTAGGAGCAAAAAGACTTGTAAGAGTGTCCTGTAACAAAAGTGTTTGATGAATTTTTAGTGGTGGTGTTTTGTCATGTTGCCGGAAAGTACAATTCTCCTGTCTTTGCTCACAGTGCATTGTGTATTTGTTGAAACCACAAATAGGAGAGGTTTTTACTCTTATGTCCACCTTAGTATCTTGTGAGAAAAGATGTCCAAAATACCTTTGTATCTTTTAAATCTCACCCAAATTGTTGGCACACTTGGTGTTGCCATGCTTTAATAGGTGTTTGCCTCTAGGAGTAGAATTCTCACTGCAAAATTGGTCATTGAAGTTCTGTACCTGTTGAACGGGAAAAGCCAGATGCTTCAAGAGATTCACAGCTAGAAATGCACAAGACAAGCATAAGCTGATGTGTCTGAAATCATGTGGGTGGTGGTTTTTTTCTGCTTCTAGGCACAATTCTGAAAAGCCTCTGTGTAAAACTGGAATTTATAGCAATTAGATGTTCCATTCTGGTAGCCAAATCATTTTGGGTTTACTTCCCATTTCTATCCTTTGTGCTCTTCTGCTTATGCTAGTGCTGAAGTTGGTGAACTTGTATGCTAAGTGGGATTTCTGAGGTCTATTAAAATGATAAAGTTGTGGCAGGTTTTTGGGGTTTTTTTGGTGGTGTTTTGTTTTTTTTTCCTTTCATAGGGTGTTTGGTTTTTTTAAACAAGATTAAGTGCTATAGTTCAATCACGTACGTGGATACACCAGCATAATTCCTGGGGACTGGAGAGAGCGACATGAGTGAAAACAGGCCCCAGGGGAAAACATGCTACTATTTGAAGCTGATAGTACAGGATGAAGACTTGCTTTTTGTGCAATAGCCAAATGTTAGAACGTTTGCCCAGAGACTGCCAGTTTTAGACTCTCTTTACTCCAAGAGGTTAACGTGTGGCTTTTTATTCCTCAGGATGATCTTGCTATTAGGCTACCAATTAACTGGGTAGAAGCAATCTTCGGTCCTGTTCGAGCTAAGCCATTACTGTATATTCAAGAAAGACACATGATAAAGAGCCATTTAAGTCTTAAATAATACAAAACCCCTTGATTTTCCAGTTTAGAGACAGGCAGGGTAGTGGGATGGAGATGGTAATCTCTTGAAGAGTAGCTTATGCATTTTGTTTAGGGAGGTTGGGAAACTATAAAGCAAGATATAAAGAAGATCCAGGGCCCTTTCTGACTGCAGTTACAGTTGAATAATATGTATATTTTAGACTCTCTGAAAACATTGGAAAAAACAGTTGCAGCTGAAAAGTCAGTTCTAATCCATCCTCAAGAGCAAGCAGTTAAAATTAGAAGGGAAGAGGAGAGACAAAAGTGGGTAAGTGTTTGTACTTATTCCTATCTCAGTTATGGCTTTAAAAAGTTATTTACAGAAGACTCTCAAATGCTTCAGGTTATATAGCACTTATAGACCCTTCTGACATTCTTGTAACGTTTAAATAAACCTTTTACGTTTTCTAGACTTAGTGTCTATGTATGAACTTCTTAAAAATGACTAAGCTCTAGCTGGAATTTAGAGTGGAAATAAAACAGTTTCTTTAAATCTAACAAGTGCTGTAGGCAAGGGATACCACTATGATTAAATGAGAATCCAAATTGTAGATTAACACCTTTGCTTTTAGTGAGGACATAGTCAAAAATAAGTAACTCTGTGAAAACTTTACTAATCCTGTGTAATAATATAGCAAGGTCTGTGGCATTGTGTTTAGAATCATAGGAAAAGCTTGCAAACCTTCAGTGTGTATATATATTTTTTGTTTGTTTGTTTTTTAAATTAACTAGGAAACAAACACAGAGTCTTGTGTCTACAGAAATGCTATATTTATTACATTGAGAAAATAATAACTTTGTGTATTACTTCATTATATGTATTGTGTATATACTTAATTTTATTTTCATTTTTGTTGTATCCTTAGAGACCTACTAGCTGTTATGTTGTGGTTTATCAATTAAAAAAAATAAAGTTGAAATTCTGGTCTTAATGCAGCCTTAAATTGTAGGGTTAAAGTTCAGAAATTCGGGAAACAAAAATTTGACAAAATAGTATTGTTTTAGGAAAAAAAAAGGCAGCATATCCTCTCTGAAAGGTGGTTACTTTCTTTAACATTCATTTTCTCCTACTTTGCACCTGCCCAGGTGTATATATTGTTATGTCCACATCAACTGTTCTCAGGTTTAGTTTTGTCTTGGGTTGGTCTTTGACATCTCCATTCAGACCATCTCATTAAAACCTGTTGTTCCCTTCATCTTTGATGGTACTTTGAAATGTTTTGCTTCCATTATAAAAGCATATATGATGTTGCTATGTGTGGATCTATGTGCGTTACAGCTGATAGGTACATGGAAAGAGAATAAAAATAAACCACTTCAGAGATTTGTGGAATGCTCTTAAAGTGGTTATACAGCAGTTATTTCAGAAGTTTTGTAAGGCTTGAATTAACATTTAAGTGTGTTGAACTCTTGGTGAAAAGCCATATAAAATGCAAGGCAGACTTCTGAACGCAGTTTAAGTAAAGGACTACTTTTGTAGTCTCTGGAAAATGATGATGTATCTTGAATGGTTAGATTCTGATTTTATCTGTTCTATTAATTGAGTGCAATAGTAAATGGATTCAGGGACTATTAGAGATACCTAGCCAGTAAAACAAAGTTATTCTTATAAACTTTGAACTATTTTTAAAGGCCTCTTACAATTCAGAAATGACAGTCACAAACAATAACACTTTTGCTGTCAGTTGGAACAAAGGTTTTTGTGTGGTGGTGTGTGTGAGGGGTCTTTGATTTCTTTGTCATTCAGTTCTGGATATTCACCCTCATTTTTCTTCTCAATAGAATGAGCAAATAGAGCAACAGAAACAGGAACAGCTGGCCTTGCTTAAACAGATTGAAGAAGAAAGAGCACGTTTGGAGGCTGATTTTCTGAAGATGCAGATGCAAACCTGTTTGGAGGAGGCTAAGAAAAAAAAAGAGGAGGAAGAGCAAGGTCAGCTGGTACAAAGCCACAGTGTTCCTTCTACAGTTCAGCAGAACAAAGTGGAACATGAGGTGAAGAACTGTAGAAAATTTTGTGTAGTTTTTTAATTATCCTGTCGAGTGCCATTTGCCAATTTTTAAATTATGTTAATCAAGACAATCAATCAATTTTTATTTCTTATGCTATGAATCAGAAGTTTGTACATAAAAAAGCTTCCTTTTGTCTAATGCAGAGGCTTGTATTTCACATGATACCACTGGTCTTTGAATATTGGATTGTCTTTGCATAGTCTGAGGGACAGCATGTCTGTTTAGAACACCTATTAGTAAAATCTGGTTAGAGTCATGTGATTATGCATGTACACGTGTCCTTTTTCAAGAAAGAAAAAAAAAATCTTGGGGCGGGGTGGGAGAGGCAATATCTCTATCTAAAATCTCTACATTTTTGTCAGTCTGAATCTCAAACAGCTACTTAAAAGAGAGGAATTTATTGAAGATGTTGAAGGAAAGAAATAATTTTTTAAAAATCTTGAATCTTTTGCATAACCTGTACTCTTCAGAGAATATGCTTGCTTTGAAAATGCAGCTCTGTTGGATTGTTGCTCCCAGAGTTTGCTACTGGGTGCACTTACCTCTTTGAGCTAAGCTGATGTAAGCACCATTGACTTGGATGGTGTATGCTCAAGTTGCCAAGAGACTAGTTTTCTGTGAGTTATTTGTATATGTGCACTTAAAATTATTTTATTTTGATTAGACTGGTAATACTACTGTATCAGAAACCAGGAGTCCTAGAGAAGACAGCCATTTACAGATGATTCGTAATTACCAACAACGCCTTCTACAACAAAACAGGTAAATTCCTCTTTGAAATGGAAGTCTGAGTTGCCTGTTACAAAATAATTTGAATTGATTAGACTATTGAAATTCATATTTAGCTTTGCACCACCCTGGAAAGATTCATGTTTTCATTCTGTTCAGGCTGCACAAACAGACCATTGAAGAAGCTAGAAAGCATCTACAGGAGTATCAGAATAAATTGAAGCAAAGATACTTGTCTACTTCTGCAACACCTCCAAGCTCTGTGGAAACAAAATCAATTAAGCCTGTCTCAGGTCCACTTCTACAGAGGCATGGAGTGCAACCAAAACAATACCAGTCATCTGAACAAGTTCATGCACAAGAGTATGCACACTCGCTACCTGTATCTTCAGGTTTTGAAAATACATTGAATATGTTGGAAAAACCATCTGCACAGAAACATGAAGACCAAATGCATAGCGTTTGTCCTGGTGCACATGTGCAGTTTTTAGAAGCATCGAAATTGAAGCATGGAGAGTTTCACTTGCCATGTGGCTGTCCTTCACAGGAACAAGTCGGAATGTTGGAAAACTCCAATAATCATGTCAGAGAACCACCTCAGTTCCAGTTACTGTCAGCATTAGTCACGAAAGATGCCACTGCAGTAAGAACACAAACAGAAGCACGTGGACAACATGTTAGATTTGTTTTGCCAGCAGAAGATTCCTCTCAGCCATCAGAGACAGTGCACTTTAAAGAGTCATCTCAGAAGATGTCTAGCCATCAAACAGAGACAGAAGCTGGAGAAAAAACCCCGCTTAAGGCACCCCTCACGCCAGCAACAAAGGCATCTCATATAGTTCAGGCAGCCTCAGTAGATTCTTCATCATATCGGCAAGGATCTGCAGAAACCACCATCAAAACAAGCCTTGAACAATCCTTCAATCTTTCTGAACCCATGACTTTATCTCATGAAGAATCTAAAGCCCATGGTGTAGAGGAATTCTTGATATCAAAAATGGAAAATGCATCTTTGTTAAATTATTCTGGTATACTGAATTTAAGGGACAGAGTATTGGCCTCATCCGAAAGCATCCAAGCTCAGCAAAAGTATTTGAAAGAACTGCAGGAGCAGATAGACGCACAAAGAGAAGCTCTTCTTTCTAGACAGAAAATACAAGAACAACTACTTTTACAGAAGCAAGATAAACTGAAGGCACAGATGCAGAGACAGCAAGAGGCTTTGAAAGAATTTCTGAACAAACAGGTAAGCTTTATAAATGCTTTGCATGGTGAGTCATCTAGTTGGTGATCAAACTTAAGAATGAATGCTACCAATTAACAAAGTATTTCATGGAGTGTTGATGGGTTTAGGTGATTTACCATAATGAAAATTCTAATTAGGACATGTGATTTGTAATCAGTCGTTCTTTTCTGTAAGCCCCAAGAGTGACATTTTATTTAGTCTAACAGAACTTGTATGAACTTCTGTGCTTATCTGTGAACATAATGCCTATTGAAATAGTTATGTTGTCTGAAATACCTGCAAATGTAGTTCTTTTCAGCTCAAGAAATGCAGCTGTATGTGTAAAACAGCTCTTGTATTAAAAATACTTAAGGAATACCTCAAAGGATATTGTAAGCCTTTTGAATAGATTATCTTTTAAAGTTTGTCTTTTTCTGTGCACCCATTAAGAAATTGGTTTGCCAGCTGCACTCTTGACTTGTAATTTTCTTGTTTCTGGGTAACAGAAGAAAAACCCAAGTAGATTTTTGACTTTCTAAAGAAGCCTCTTTTGTTCTTCATGTTTTCTGTTAAAAAAAAAAAAAAAAATCTTAGAAAAATAACTGTTGCCTAGAGTCCCTGTCTCTTGCTTTTGCAGTCTGCAAGCAGCTAAAATTCCTGAATACAGGAGCTGAAAAACTAAAAGCAGACTTTTCAGGAATTGTTCCTGTTAAAAATGATGAGTATTCTCATCTAATCTAATACATCTATATAATTGTTTTAGCACATGAGGTTTGTAGAACTAAATATGACCTATATGTCTAAATGTTTTTCATTGAATCATAGAATAGTTTGGATTGGAAGTGACCTTTAAAGGTCATATAGCCCAATCCCCCTGCAATGAGCAGGGACATCTTCAACTAGATCAGGTTGCTCAGAGCCCTGTCCAACCTGACCTGGAATCTACCACCTCTCTGGACAACCTGGGCCAGTGGTTCATCAGCCTCAGTGGGAAAAATGTCTTCCTTAGATCTAATATAAATCTGCCCTCTTTCATTTTAAAACCATTACCCCTTGTCCTGTCGCTACAGGCCCTGCTAAAAAGTCTACCCTCATCTTTCTTATCAGCCTCCTTTAAGTCCTGGGAGGCTGCAAGAAGGTCTCCGCAGAGCCTTCTCTTCTCCAGGCTGAACAATCCCAACTCACTCAGCCTGTCCTCAGAGGAGAGGTGTTCCAGCCCTCTGATCATTTTTGTGGCCTCCTCTGGACCTGCTCCAACAGGTCCCTCTCTTTCCTGTGCTGAGGGCTCCAGAGCTGGACGCAGCACTGGGGCGGGGGGATCTCCCCAGAGTGGAGCAGAGGGACAGAATCCCCTCCCTCAACCTGCTGACCTGCTGCTTTGGATGCAGCCCAGGAGACTGTTGGTCTTCTGGGCTGCAAGCTCGCATTGCCGGCTCATGTCCAGCTCTTCGTTCACCAGGGTGCCCAAGTCCTCCTCAGCAGGGCTGCTCTCAATCCCTTCCTCCTTGAGCCTATGCTGATACTGGGGGTTACCCTGACCCAGGTGCACTTGTCCTTGTTGAGCCTCATGATGTTCTGTCCTGGTTTCAGCCAGGATAGATCTGGTTTTCTTCACAGAAGCCAGTGTGAGGCTGTGTTTTGGATTTGGGGTGAGAAAATGTTGATAACGTGCTGATGTTTTGAGTTGTTGCTAAGTAGTCAGGGACAGTCCAGCTTCTCGTGCTGGCCTGCTAGCAAGAAGGCTGGGGGTGCACAGGGAGCTGGGAGGGGGACACAGCCAGGACAGCTGACCCAGGCTGGCCAAAGGGGTATTCCCTACCATACAACGTCATGCCCAATACATAAACTGGAGTTGGCTGCGGGGCGGGAATCGCTGCTCGGGGACGGACTGTTGATCACCACATGGTGAGCAATTGCTGTATTGGGCATCACTTGTTCTTGTACATTCCTTTGTTGGTATTATTATTGTTATCATTGTTGTTTCCGACTCTCTTGCTGTCCTATTGAACTGTTTTTATCTCAACCCATGAGTTTTTTTCCCAGTTCTCTCCCCCGTCCCACTGGGAGAGCGGTGTGTGAGTGAGTGGTTGCGTGGTTCTTAGTTGCTGTTTGGGGCTGAACCATGATAGGTTCACCCGGGCCCATTCCTTGAGCTTTTCCAGGTCTCTCTGGATGGCATCCTGTCCTTCAGGCATGTTTTTTTATAAACTAAGCAAGTCTGTACAAGTATCTTCCTTGCTTGAACTACTTTCTCAAAATGTTCAATATTGTCCTGCATGGAATACACAACAAGAAAATGCTGGTTTGAGAAACGAGTATAAATACAATCTTACATACAATTGCTTCCCCCCTGCTTCTTCTCCCACGTTCGAAGGTGACACATATCGGCATGAACAAAGAAATGACAGAGGCACAAAAGCCTGACCGGATTAATAGGACTGACTTTTTCCAAGTCTTAGAAAACTACCAGCAAGAGAATTGTGGCAGGAGTAAATTTCACGAGAGTGAAATGATTTCACAGTGCATCAGTCCAGCTGAGCAAACTGGTAAGGCTGTATAGTATTTTTCATTATAATTTTTCACATTTTGCAGCTGAGGTGGAGTTCTCTTCCATCTCCACATGTTTATTTGATATATATATATATCATTGCAACATGCAAAACTTTGTTTTACAGAACAGTCTGAGGAAGTCCTATGTAGAGAACAGAAACGAAGATCTTCCAAACCACCTGTGGCAAAAGTAAAGTTAGGGCTTGATTTGGAACAACATGAACTTAGTGTTATACCAGAGGTAGACACACCGAAAAGTTGCAACATCTCTTTTGCAGGTAAAAAAAAAAAAAAAAAGTTCAATAAGTGCTGCTGTTCCTGAGAAATACAGATTGGCGGAAATTAATCTTTTCTGAAGAGTTGAAGAGTCTTTGAGATCACTGATTATGAAATAATAGCTTATACTGTTGCCTGTTTTTAATGTATAATTTATATACTATCAAAGTGAGTTATAGTTGAGAAAATTTTATCCTGACAGTGTCTGTCTAAGAAAACATAATCAAAACAAAATTTCGCCAAGAAAAGAAAATTCAGTGTAATTCCGTGACTCCAATTCCCTGTTGATTTTTCTGTTGGGCCAGGTCTGTGTTAATAGACAATTGTACAAGAATTGTAAAGAGAACCATCAAAGTTCATGGACAGTGTTTAAAGGTTTAGCTTTTGAGCGGACCACGACAGTGAGTGTGAAATCTTTTAAATAAGGAGTTAGTATCAGGTTTCTGCAGAAATTTTTAGTCCATCTTTAGTTGTGGGTTTTTTCCAATTACAGAACACTCCTTGTAAAAATTCCAGAGAGCAACTACGCAAAGCAATTATCATTTCCTAAGCATGTCTGTTACAGTCTGCATGCAATGCTTTGTAGTTCTCTGTAAAGAACATTAATTAGCAGGTAGAACAAACTGATGGTTTTCTAAATGTAAACACTTTTTTTTTTTTGTAGAGTCTCTTCATAGCTAAAATGTAATGCATATTTTACAAAAGTTCTAATATTGTGCCAGTGTTTTTTGAAAGGGCTAAGCAGAACAATCTGAGTAATTACAGGCCTGTCAGGCTGGCATTCATCTTGAACAAAATAATGAAACAGCTGATATCAGACATTTTTTAATTAAAGAAAAGTAATTAATGCTAGTCAGCATCAGTTATGCGGAATAACTTGTGTTGGACCAATTTGGTATGTTGATTAGACAACAAGTTTTGTTGGTGAAGGTTTTGATTGAAGATTATATTTAAATTCTCAAAAGCACTTGGCTTAGTGTTACACATCTTAATTAAAAAAAGATTAAAAATCAAAATACATACCAAAACAATTTTCTGAAGTTTCCATTATCCAGTGGAGTTCTAGAGTAGGGAATACTCTTGCTGTGTAACCCCATTATGATCCACAGGTGATACTGATATTATCTAACCATTGCTCATGGTAGGTAGTAAAAAGTTGAACTTGAGGGTTTTTTTTATTGGATTGGGTGGCCAAAAAAGGCTGTTTGTGTTGGGAGGGTTGTGGAGAAAAGAAATCTTTAAGCCAGAGCAGAGAAGTTATATTGCCTCTGGATTTGGAAAAGTTACTGAAAGTTTTGGTGGATTTACTATGGGGAAAAATTAGTTTGCATTTTTTTTGGAAGAAACACTTGCATAAGGAATTATACAGGTCATCGACTTCTCAAAAAATAATCTTTCAACCTGTATAGTCCATAGGCTGTGTAATGCAAAGGTTTTTACTGACCTGATATGGCTAACTTTATTAAAATGGAGCACTGTATGAATTCAGCAGGTTATTTCTGTAGAATAGAATGTATATCTTAATGTTTTTCATGAAGTGCAAAACAGTGCATTTCTATACCTAAACTGATTACAAATGTTTTAAATTCAGATAAAACAGATTCTGTTGGTGGGGAATCTTCTCCCATTTCGACTATTGGGGAGTTTGCATATGTGAAACGTTACAGTTGCACTCTTCATGAAGAAGGCAGGTTAACTTCCAGCATGACAGACTACGAGGAACGAATCTGTAATGGAAGTCCAAGGCAAAGTAAAGAGTCAAGTAGGTTATTACAAGAGGTGCTGCTGATGACTGCTGAAAATTCATATGATTCAGGTGAGGAAATCCTCTTCCTTCGAGGAATTATGTGAATGCCATTCAGCACTGCTAATTTTACTGCTATTTATTTGTAGCATATGATCTGACTTGTTGAAGAACCTGCAGTGCTATTTAAATACTATTTAAGTGTAAAAAGAGTGTTTCAATAACAATGTGTCTCAGAATGACTGGGTGTTTTTTTGTGGTCCGTTATGATTCTTGTAACAAAAGTCCATGCTGCAGTAAACTTCATTGCTAGTCAACAGTTTCTCATCCAAGGCACGTGCTTTGTCTCTGTACCTTGTAGAATTGTTTGTAGAGAAACTTCTTCTGCATTACCTGGTTGCCCTGCCCTCACCAGCAGAATCCCATGCATGCATAGGGAGCAAACTGCTGTAGAAAGCCACAGGTGTGTTTTTTCCTCCTGAGGGAGGTGCCTTCTGCTCAGACTGTGGGATGTTTAGGTTTGCAGCTCCACCAGGTGGGAGCCCGTTTTGAGCAGACCAGTGGTGTGCCTGATTCAGTACCCAGTGATTACTTGGATTGACACAAAGGACATGAGTGCTTAAAAAGAACTCTGGAGCGTTAACACTCCAATGTTTACGTCCACTGAAAGATCAGCATATATAAGAATTTGCTTAAAAATACAGTTGATAGAAAAAAATAGAAGGCTGAGGGTTATCCTTAGCTCAAAGAAACAACTTTGAAAGAATCAGCTGTTAGTTGTGACAGAAATAAAAAGAGTGCAATAAGGATTACTTTAATGCTGATCATTTCTGTTAATCTGTGAAGAGCTTTTATTAGAGATCCCACCTTTGAGGATAGATTGTGTCCATATATGACAAAGTCTGATTCCATAAGTTAAACCAAGTTGTTTTGGTTATCAAAAAAGTTGGTTTTGTTATAAAGTGGTTTGTGAATGTTCAAAATAATTTTGTTACAGTGTTGTTGAAACCTACTAAGCATGTTCTGGGTACCTTGACTGGCTTTATAAAAGAACAAAGGTGGCTAGTCTTAGGTAAACAAAGAAAGGGGGTTACTGAGAAGTTTTTCAAGAGATTGGACTAACGAGTGGATGTCAAGGTTTTTAATGCCTACTGGTTTTTTCCTGCCTATGCAAATTTAGCTTGTTTCTCTAGTCTTAGAGTAATCTTAACTCAAAGACTACAATACTTTCAGTTGCAATGCACTTGCTTCTCCAAATTTCCTGCAGATTGAAAGGCAGATTATAGTCACTGTAACTGAGAAATGCTATGCCTGACTTGCTGGGAACTGTTAAACAAAATTTGCAAAACATTGACTAAAGCAGTTTGTTTGTTTTTTTTTTTAGCTTTTTTTCACAAGGTGACATGGTCTCATGGTCCAGTATAGTTTTTGGCATCCATCTAAAAGAAATAACTTGCTAAAGCTGCAAAGAAGTTTTCAGCAACTTTGCTATCTTACATGTACATCTTTACGAGCAATACAGCTATGTAACATGTACCTCCTGGCTTTGCTAGAAATTTCACCAATGGCCCAAATCCTGTTAACTTCTCAGTTTGTGTTGAGACATTGTTTTCCATTCAGTCAGGATTTACTAGGAATTTAAGTTGTTTTGAGTAAGTACAAATAAGCTCATTTTCTTTGAGCTGCTTCCTTTAATTCTCAGAATACTCTTTTTGAAATATAACTATATATAAACTTATCACTAAAGAGTTTTGTCTTTGTTAACAGTATTTGAAAAAAAGGCTTGTATTTTTTTGAGCTTCTGTAGAAGCATTGCTAGATCAGCTGTTACCAAATTAATATGAAATATCTTACTGTAGCATCTTTTTACATTAGTGAGTAATATATATGAACGGTGCAGTGGTTTATGTGAGAGGATTAGGAAACTTCACGTGAACATGTACATTTACTTAAAAAAGCTTTCTGTGATTATGTCTTTACGAGGATTGTCCTCTTAAGCAGTTCAACAACCAAAACTGTCAACACTATCTTTGTAATTTGAAGGCTGTGAAGCACTCTGGTACTTTAGGTAACTAGTGCGGTATCTTCAGCAAGAAGATCTACAGTCCATGTTAAATACAAAGTTTCTGAAGGGGAAATTTAAGTTGCATTTTAAGTTGTTGCTTATTATAGTAGCTTTGATTATTTTTTACTTAACTGTATTTTAAAAATTTTTTGCTACTTGATTCTAACCAGCACATCTGCAGTTTTCCCGTATTTTCAAGATGTAATTGTATCTAAAGGTGAGAGCAAATGAGTGCTTTGTATGTGTGATCTTTGACCACCTTCTTTGAAGCTGTGTTCTTGGTGGTTTCTACCTTTGATCAAATAGTTTAAAGCTTTACAGCTAAAGGGTTGTACTGCTTTTGTGATTACAGACGCACTAGATGTACAAAAATCCTAATAATCAATGCTTACATGCTTTTCCAAAATAAAGCATTAAAGATAAAAGGGTAAAAGTTATACAGGTTCTTAAAAAGGTAAAATTGGTAAGTCTGCTTGGATACTTTATCAGGAAAGGTGAGTTTCCTCTTGAGACTTGTCCTTGGGTAACAGGAAAATTTTTTATTTCTGTAATTAGCTGTATTTCTTTCTTCCAATTATCACAAGAAGAAAAATAACCTTAACCCTCTCAAGTTTAGAGGCAGACATGTCTGAATGTAAAACAAGTCTTGAGGACTGCTTCTGATTAGGGGAGGATGAATCCTTGTGCTCAGTATTGAGTGGTTCAAGTGCTACACAAACTGATCAGCTGGTTGACAGCCGGAGAGGACAGGTAACTGTTGAAGTGATGTTGCAGTAAGTGCCACCAGTGAGGCTAAGATTTGGATTGCACTCTCTTAACATGCCACTGATGAACGACAAGATGATTTAGGAACTTTGGACACTTGATAGTTCTTCTTCCCAATCCAGTTCAGTTAAAATGAGTTACTAGAATACAAATTATTAAATATGGAATTGCAGAGTAACCCAACGGATGAGCCAGGCACCTTGATGGGATAAACCTCATTTCCTTCAGAAGTCAGCCTGAAAATAGTGACTAGTTTTGATACACAGATCTCTTTCACAGTTTTCCTTCATTATATATGAACAGGCTTTTTTCTCTGTATTCATCTTCATCTTTAACAGTCCCCTTGAGCAGTGTTCCAGATGTGATTATCTTAATGTATTACTAGCCTGTACAGAGATGTTATTCCAAGCATGATTATTTTTTGTGTGATTCAAACTAACCTAAGATTTCAGTTTATTTTTTGTAATCCCAAATATTTTTCCATAATGCATTATTATGACAGATTGTCTTATCCAAAACCAATTTAGTCAAACTAGCATGGAGTACAAGTTTTGCTGGTTTGTCTGCATGATTGGATTTGGGCTAATTGCTGTTTTTATATTGCCTTGACTGAGAGGTTTGTTGTTCAGTCTTTTATCTTTCAAATTGCACCCTAAAATAATTGCTGCTATTCTACTGCAATTTCTGTTGCGGGGGGCGGGGGGGAACCCAAACACATTCTGGATCATAAAATCATAGAATCTCCGAGTTGGAAGGGACCTTCAAAGGCCATCTGGTCCAATCCCCCTGCAATGAGCAGGGACATCTTCAACTAGATCAGGTTGCTCAGAGCCCCATCCAACCTGACCTGGAAAGGTTCCAGGGATGGTCATCTACCACCTCTCTGGGCAACCTGGGCCAGTGGTTCACCACCCTCATTATCAAAAATTTCTTGTTTGTGTCTAGTCTGAATCTACCCTGTTTTTACTTCAAAACCGTCACTCCTTGTCCTATTGCTACAGGCCCTGCTAAAAGTGTGTCCCCATCTTTCTTACAAGCCCCCTTTAAGTACTGGAAGGCTGCAATAAGGTCTCCCCAGAGCATTCTCTTCTCCAGGCTGAACAACCCCAACTCTCTTAGCCTGTCCTCAGAGGAGAGTTATTCCACCCCTCTGATTATTTTTATGGCCCTCCTCTGGACCCACTCCAAGGGGGTACACTTTCTTTGACCTTCCTTTTCTGGCTGACATGCCTATAGTAGAAGCCCTTACTATTCTTTGTCTCCCTTGCCAAGTTCAGGTCCAGCCACACCTTGCCCTTCCTGATCCCATCCCTACACAACTGGGCAGCGTCGCTGTACTCTTCCCAGGATACCTGTCCCTGATTCTACTGCCTGTGCATTGCCTTCTTGACCTTTAGCTTGCCCAGCAGGTCTCAAGTCAG